GTCTGAAAAAATTTGACTTGATGCTATGTAACGCAAGTCACACACCTTATCATGCCATCTGTAGGTCTGAAAATACATATTTTTGTAGGAGAAGATATACACCAATAGAAAAACTCAAATAAAAACGAAACATTAAAAACTGTATCATCAACCCTTTGCGATACATTTTAGGTACCCACCTATTGGCAAAAGCTCACTTTTGTAGTCTTCACATTATTTCAATTGAACTTTTATTCTAATGATTTTTAAAAGGTGCTTTCAAGCATACATGACAATATAAACTGTTACATCATCAACCACACATTAATTTTGTTAAAAACCCATTAAAACAAAACACTTCATTTCTTTGAGAACACCTCTTCATTGCATGAAATTGAAAGGCAAAGGGCTCAACTGGACCTTTGTAAGGACAAAGGTTGAATAAAAAAAACATCAGGTACTTTGAGGGGTTAGAAATCTACAGTAGCTTACCTCTGAGATTTAACACGGGAATGCAGATATAATGAAAAGTCTAAACACACATGCTACGCAATCTTACCCCAGCTTTGAAAATCCCATTTAAGCTCCATGTCAAAGTCTCCAATGTCTTTAAGGGCCTGGACAATCAGAGGGCGTCTTTGTTCTAAGGCTTCCCGGGACTGTTGTTTCAGTTTCCGTAATACCAAGAGAACTACGACAAAACAGATAAACAATCATTAACAGTATAGGGAAAAGAAGTAACAATTTGCTTAAACTTACCAGTAATATCAAATAACTGTGTATCACAACTTAAATTTCATTTAAATAGGAAATTCATTATAATTCATAAGTCTGTGGTGAGAATTCACTTTAGAACAGTGCTACTGAAAAAGAAGAAAATAATTTTTGCTCACACAAAGTAATACAAAATTAAAGGTACTTCGCCCACATTTAACAAAGTAATAAGAGCATCAGTATCATGAAAAAGATAATGTATCTCCAAAGACAGAAAGAGAAATACTTGACAGATTGCTCCTGAGTTTACGATGATGACAAAGTCAAACTAATGACAGTAAATCTCGAGTCACTTTCTCTTTTTTCAAAAGGCCAGAAATTCTTCCAAATATAAAATCTCTTTAGAGATGAGTATGTGCGTGGTTGGCGGGTGCTTTGGTGTGGTTTGCTTCTTCTTTCCTATCAAACATCTATCGTCCTTATCTCCCCTTCTTTTTTATGTTCGTTACTCTCTTGTAACACCTCTAATCTTCTGGCGCTCATATGACCTTAAGCAGTTGCGAGCGCCGTAAAACCTCTACTAAAACTAAAACCTAAAGAGATGAGTATTACCAAAGTTAGTCACATATAAAAGCTAAAAATAACCAAATTACCTGTCTCATTACAAGAAATGAGACAAAAATGAGTGCTATGACCCTATTCCAACTCACTAATCTGTCGATCACCATAGCTGATGGCTTCTGCCAATGGTGTCCATCCCTGAGCATTTTTCACCTTCACCGGGGCTCCATGAGCAAGTAGCAAATGCACACATTCTGGAAAATTTGAAAAAATCATTTAATGGAAAGAACATGAAAACTTAATGAAAACATAGACATAAAAACATAACAGACAGGACAGAGATTTGCACACCAAGCTACATTTTTTATTTTTTTCATTACAACTGCAAGATATTAAAGTAAGGAGGAATGTACATAATAACACAAGAAGAATGTTGGGTACGGTCACATGGTGCTCCTCTGTCCACTGGAGGTCAAGAGTTGGATTGATCCCCACCAACGTTAGTTTTTTTCCTCATGTTTGCTACACACCCTCATTCCAGGGTGAGTAGGGTACAGTTTACCTAGAACATTAAATATCCCAAGGCCGTTCTAAAATAAAAAAACAGTAGGTGGGTAGGCCCTTCGCTTCACTCTCAGGGCAAACTTCGTAAGAAACAAACTTCAAACCCAAAACTGAAGTCACTCTGGTCATTACAAATATAGTAGTACATTTGAAAAACGGAAGGTAGCTCTCTGTCAAGCAAGAGATGATTCTACATTCTATGTTAGTTTTTACATTAAGTAAGAGTTTTATGGCACTTGCAACATAATAAGAAGGTCATATAAGTGCCAAAGATTAGAGGTGTTACAAGCGAGTAACAAACACCAAAAAAAAAAGGAGGAGAGATACGGATGATACATGTTTGACAGGAGAAAGAAGAGCAAACCACACCAGAGCACCCTCCAACCACCCACACATTATGTTAAATAAAAGGGCTTTGTACTTAAAAATTATTCTTGTACTACTAATCTTATAATCACTTACTCCCTGACCTCCAGCAGGGGTAGGAGACGAGACAAAGAAAGACTAAAACAACTATCAACTTCCCTACATACTATCAAAAAGATGTCAAATATATACTTATTGTATTTTTTATACGTATGTATCTTTATAACTCCAGCACATAATCACAGGTATATCTGAGTTTATAAAAAGCATAAAAACAAATCTGACTGACTTTCATTTAAGAGACACCTCATTACCTTTATGCCCAAGCATGACTGCAAGGTGTAGAGGAGTATTTCCTGTAGAAAAAATACAAAACATAAAAGAATAATTGTTTAATGCACTCAAAATGAAGCTAAAAAAAGAAGTGGATTTATATAAGAAACATTTGAGGTGAAGCTTAACACATAAAACCCTGAGTTTTTTTAATACCTCCCTAGAATCCTGAATGAAATAGAGATAACAGAAACAATCAGGTTGTTTCATTATCTTATTAACTGTGTCTTTAATTGTCAGATTTTACTTAAATTTGAATATGTTATATAATATGTATAGTACATATATGAATGCACAATCTGGACAAAAGAGGAACAATTAAAAACACAGGTTTTTAAGACCAACTCTATGACTTAAAGTCTTGTGTGTGATCCTAAACACTATAGTCAAAGCATCATTAGGCCCAGCCGTAGATCTAGCCTCTGGCAGCTCTAGCGGTGATCCCCTGCCACTTCCACTATAGTAAAAATCATCATCGATGTTATGCGAAACATTGCAATCGTCTTCAAAAGTCATATCTACCGACTGGAAATCATCATCTGGGTCTGGTTCAGGATAAAAAATATTTAAAATATTGCGGCCTGATAGGCCTGGCAGTGAAAAGTCATTCAATAAAAAAGAAATTGGAAAAATTCCAAACTTTTGGTGTAAACTACTCTTATGACATTATCATGATTATCAATATTTTTTGCTCACAACAGTCATCTGGAGTTACATCCGTCTTTTTTTCCCTGATGGGTTTTAAAGGGTTAAGACAAGGTGTTTTCACTTTCATATTATTACTTTAAGCATACACAGGCATTTTTTATATATATATATATATATATATATATATATATATATATATATATATATATATATATAATATATATATATATATAGTAAGTCTTTCTTATGCAGCCTAATGGCAGGAAGTGTAATAAATTATACTTATACCCAACACAATTTCGAATCACTAGAGAAAAAAAATGTTAGATAAAGCACAGCTATTTTCATAAGTTCACTATAGTATGACTTTTGTCAATTTTAGTACAGTTGTACAGAACAATATTATAGTATGATGGGGTCTGCCTAACAGCAACCCTCTTGGGAAGCAAGCTGCGGTTGCTGCTAACTGAATTTTCAAACTTTGTGTGTGTGTGTGTGTGTGTGTGTGTTTGTTCAGGGGAAGGGGGTGAATAAAAATACGACCGACCTCTCACCCCGGGTGAGACTTGCCAGTGTTGGCTACTCTCACCCGGTGTGAAACAAGACCGGTTTTTCCTAATTTCGGAATACTGTCTATCGATATGGATAATCAAATTGACAAAAGCAAAGAAAAAATGACATTATAGCACAAAAGAAAGCTAATTTGGTGCAGGGCTCAAGAGGCTCCTTGACCCTTTGGTTTACTAGGGATTTAAACCCTTGTTTTAGAAACTTAAACCGTAAAAGTCAATATCTCATAATTTTAAAGTAAGATTTTTTGCTTGCAAACATTTAACTCACACGCACATTCACACAGACACACATAGAGTGACCACGACTATGATTGAATGCTAATGATTTTAATTAACTTCAGAAATAAATGAGTAATATTGACGAGAATTAGAGTTGTGTCCATTTGGAGGGGGGAACAGTGGTGGTGGTTGAGCAATTGGGTCTATCAAAAATAAAATAAAGTTGGTAAAACCAAAAGGGGTCAACTCCGATTATAATGCTCCAAGAAAAATAGACCTGCCACTCTATGAAATCTTAAAGTCAGGATCTTAGTAGGGAAAAAAAATTGGGACTTGGTAAAAAAAATCGGGATCAACGACAAATCACCTAGGTCACTGCCAAGTTGACTTTTAAAAAATTCCAAGGATGTCCAATATTATAACCATGTATATTCCCTCTGCGCGTACGTGTGTGGGGTGTATGTCTGTGTGTGTGTGTGTGTGTGTGTGTGTGTGTGAGCTTGCGTGTGCCTGTGTGAGTTTCATCTTTTTTTAAAATCCTGAAGTATCATGTCAAAGTCTCCTAGTCCAAGTGTTTTACACGTCCCCCCTCCCCTCGGATAAGTCCCGAAAGACGCTTCAACCAGTGTGCATAAACTTAAATTGACCCCGTCAACGATGGTCCCCGACACACGCGGAACTCACACGCCGAAGTCATGTCACATGGTGCAAACGCGCGACCGAAACAGTTTTACTGACGATCTTGATGACGGGCCTGACTAACCAAAATTCGGACAAAGCATGTTTTGGCGAAAGTAGATCTTGAGAATGTCTTAAGTTGGAAAGCCAAATCAATACTACTTCCAATCCGTTATAGTTGAAATAACACGTGTGAGCAAAGATCCAAGACAACTTTTGGTGAGTCAACTACTAAATTCAACATAGACATTTTGGAAAAAAGTTCTCCGAGTTTCTGCTGACAAAAAGTTAAGCGAGTGTTTCCCACGACAGAAAAGAAGGCAAGAGTAAGATTTTAGACAAATCTGGCGCAACAGGCGGAACAAAAAATTAAACAAAAAAATCAGGGTACACGCGATCAACATCGGGATGCTTGAGATTTAGGGCAGGGATGAGTGGCAGGTTTGGAATGATTCATTATTCTTCAGAGCCATCCCAGGGTTCACATTCCAGTCTTTCCACACTTTCGATGGCAGACAATTCAAGTTTACTAGTGTGTTATTTGTTAAAGAAGGATGGGGGTTATCTCACGGCAGGGGTAAACTCAAGGCACGACACCGGCAAATGTGAGCGACCAGAATGTGGGCAGAGCTTCTGTGCTGAGGCAAGCCTGTGTTGCTGGAAACTGTGTGCAGCTGATAAGTAGGTTTCTTCTGATACAGAAGGTGACTGTCGTGCATGTGTGTGGGTGTGTCGTCAAATCATTGACTCAGCTTTGGGATAGAGAAGGGGGGGAAATGATGCTTGCCAGACGCACACCACCTAGGGCCTACGTTTTAAAACGTATGCAAACCCCCGAAAAGAAATAATAAAGAGTAAAGCTCATGCACAACCAAAACTTAAAGGAGGTAATCTGCTGATTACGCACATTTACACAAGTGCGTAAAGGGGAGCCCTGTTGGTGGTCTACAAAGATGCTAAGTTAGGCTAAGGCTATGTTACTTTTTGAATAGGGGTACCTCGAATAGAGCCGAACTACGCGGGTCGCCATTTTGTTTTGTCCAGAAGTTCTAGTGCTACTCTTCTTTCTCTCCCCCCCCCCCCCCCCCCCTCTCTGGCGCTTTCTCAGTAGTTCCCACCCCGCAGCCGCAATTGTTATTCGCCGGTTTTGGCCCCCTGATTTTACCATATGAGCCATTGCCAAAACGTGGGGAAAAACACACACATCTCACAATTGTGTGCATAAAATGTGATGCATTAGTATTTATTCCTCCAAAACGTATACACATGTCAAATATAGGATGTAGAACCTGCATTTGCAGTTTCAGACCCTATGTCAGCTTTATAATGTTGCGTTTGTAAATTTTGTGCCAAAAATGTCCGTTTTTTAGTGATTCCTGGATTGTCATTTTGAGCACACCAATGCAAACTTCCAAGAATGTCAAAAATTTAGTATTTTTGGGTGTTTTTTTAAAACCTGTGCTTTGATTCTATGCTATTTGTGATCGAGAAAGGTTCACTTGCTCAAGAAATCGGTTTATTTGTTTGCAAATAAACTAATAATTCGGATCACTTGTGCGTCAGGGGTGTCGTCACGGACTAGGTGTTTCAGAAAACACCATTATTTTTCAGTAGAATCACCACAGCTGGTTAAATCTTTTTGCTTTTCGTCGTTTATTCAATAGTTCAAAAGCCGCGATGCGCGAAAGGAACATCGGGTTCCTAGATCTACGATTTCGGTCGGCTGTTTAACATTCGCCGTTAATGGCGTCACTTTGCGACGTACCGGAAGTCCGAATTTTAGCCTACTTTTGTTTTGAACGGATCATCAACAGTGCCCGGATATAATTGTTTTCTTGAGTGACTTCCCTTTACCCACTTCCCCAGAACAGCGGGAGCAACAGGGTAAAGAGAAAAACAAAAGTAGTCATTGCCGTCACCCTCCGGTTACGCACAAGAATCTTGCGTTGAATGTGACGTACTGGGCTGTTTTGCGTGTTTTTAGGCTACCCTATTGAATATTTTAGTGAAATTGTGGTGTTTACATTGGATTCCTGGAACAAGAGTGTGATGTGTGAACAAACTTCGAGAGATGGATCATTTCTGTGGTTATAGATTTAGCTTTTGAGCTTAGTGATGACGTTTGGGGTGTCGTCATGCAGCCGTACAAGACTGACCGACGTACTAGAAATTACATTGTCCTAAGAGCAAACATTATTTAAGTCATGTGTGCTCTTTTTACTCAAACAAATAGACAAACATGTCCTTGTTTATCTGTCTAACTCAAAAGTACACATTTGTTCTTTGTTGGCATGATATGCCTTTTTCCAATACATTGTGTCATCATTGTTATGTAATATTTTTCATAATTGCTAATATCAATAAGTTTTCAACATATATTTCATACATGCAAGATTCATTGAGAAACAAAATACGCCTTTATTGATCTGTGTGATCTCATAGTGCAAATTTGTTCTTTGTAGGCATGATTTTACCTTTTCCCAGTATGTTTTGTCATCACTGTTATGTACGAGTACTCTTTGTCATAATTAGCAACGTAATTGTGATTGTCTACTGTCTTTGATATGACCTGGTATCTTTTTCAAAGCAAAAGAAACCTCTCTTGGGTTTTTTTAATTCTTAAAGTGCGCTTTTCTCTCTGGAGACAAGACTTTTGTCTTTTCCTGTACATTGTGTCATCAGTTATGTACAAGTCATGTTTGTCATCACTGTTATGTACAGGTCAGCTCAATTGATTTTGTCACTTGTGCTTTTGCCTCATTTTAGTTTAAAAATAGTTTTACACATGTGTTTTTCTGGTACTGAGGCTTTGATAACTGTATTTGTACAGCCTTTCACTATTGTGATGTGTTGTTAATGATAATGTCCAATGTGTATCCTTTCTTGTACATAACAATGATGACATGTTCTGTGCACTGCGTCATTGTTACAAAACTTGTCATTCATATTACCATTATGAATGGAGTTCATAGTGTACGAAGTCTTTGTTTATTAAACAAATGGAATTTAAAGTCCATAATTTGCCCTGCTGCCTGTTTTTGTCATCAATGTTACATACAAGAAATACAGTAGTTGCCAAACCAATAGACCCATATCTCCAAAACCGTACATCTCCTTGCTCTGATACTCTAGGAATATGAGCACTAAATGTCAATCTGTGACTGACAGAAAAGAGAGTCAAATTGGTAAGAAAATTTTTTTTGCACCACTGAGTCTCAAGAGTCTCACGTTTTGGCAATTGCTCATATAAATGATAATTTGATGTTTTGCAGTTGTTAGGTTTGATATCTTAGCTCGCCGCTCATCAAACGTATAGATCTAGGATGCAGATCTAGGCTCAAATAAGGGGGGTGGAAACTACCGAAAAAGCACCCTCTCTCTTTCTCACTGCCCACAGACAAAGTAAATTGAAAGTTGCACACTTGCAACACGGAAGTGGCTATTCTCATCTGGGGTGAGAATAGAAATACGATCGACCTCTCACCCTGGGTGAGACTTGCGACCGTAGGCTATTCTCAACCGGTTTGAAACAAGACCTGTTTTTCCTTATTTCGGAATACTTTCTATCGATGTGGATGATCAAATGGATAAAGGCAAATAAAAGGTTACGTTATAGCACAAAAGTAAGCTAATTTTATCGACTACAAAGATGCTATGGCTATTTCACTTTTCGAATCGAGCCGAACAACGGGGGTCGCCATTTTGTTTTGCCCGGAATTTCTCGCAATATCTACTCCTCCCCTCTTCTCTCTCTGTCTCTTTCTGAATACTGTCTATTGGTGTGGACGATCAAATTGACCAAAACAAAGTTAAAAAATGATGTTAAAACACAAAAGTAAATTAATTTGGTTGTCTACAAAGATGCTACGGCTATTTAACTTTTCGAATCGAGCCGAACTACGCGGGTCGCTATTTTGTTTTGACCGGAAGTTCTCGCGCTACTCCTCTCTCTCTCTCTTTCTCTCCACTGCCCACAGACAAAATTGTACGCTTTTAGTAGGCTACAGTTGTAATGGAACGTTTGTTCACGGCACAGAATTCTACAATTTTTCTGTTATCACAGTGTAGAATTCTGTGGTTTAGGGTGAACGCAAAATTTGTTGGCCTAGATCTAGGCTATAACGGTGAACGCGCACCGGGTGAGAATAGCCAAAAGACTCTCCTGCACTATTCTCACCCCGGGTGAGAATAGAGGTGGCCTTGCAACACAGGAGCGCTGGAACGTTTGTTCACGGTGAACGCAACACCGGTTGGTCTAGGCTATCACGGTGAACGCAAACCGGGTGAGAATAGCCAAAAGGCTCCCCTGCGCTTTTCTCACCGGGGGTGAGAATAGAGGTGGCCTAACCTAATAATATTAAGTTATAATTAAGTTTGATGAACGACTGCACTTTGTTGACAGACTGCTGCTGACTGCAGAAGATGAGTCATAAAGGAACGTCACTAATGAGCGAGCAATCTAATAAATCGTACATACAAACATTGAGAAAAACTAAATGATTACCATGATTGTCTCTCTGAGATACGTCACAGGTTCGTATCAATCTAGAAACCCGTTTAATGTCGCCATTGAATACTCTTTCGTGTAAGGGAAACTCAGACGACGCCATTTTGCTTATTTACGGAAGATCGCTTTGTCCCCAGATTTTTTTTCAATTGTTTGGCTTTGTACTTGAAACTTGAAAGAGTCTAAGCCCGCAAAAGCCTAGGCCTAATGTCCAATTGCAGAGAGCCGCGCACGCATAAATTGTGTGAATGGGAATTCGAAAGGGGTGCATAAAAAAATAATAAGCTCAGGCTAAATTGATTTAGTTGTGCCAGTACTTTTTATTTAAGAAAAGATCTTTTTATATTGTATTCTTTCCGATTGAAAGCTCATGCAAATACACATCTTCACAATGTTCAACAGTCCCCTTGCGTGTAGGCCAAGTTTTACGTATTATTTTATAGGACTAATATTGTTCATTAAAAATTGATTATCATACATAGCAGAGTTGGTAAGGGAATGAGAGAGACAGAAATAGAAACACACACACACGCACACGCGCACACACACACACAAACACACACACACACACACACACACACACACACACACACACACACACACACAAAGAGAGAGAGAGACAGACAGACAGACAGACAGACAGACAGAGACAGAGAGAGACAAAGAGAGAACGTGAGCGTATTGGGGGAGGGGGTGGGGGAGATCGTACCATATGCGCCAATCATGAGATCTTGGAGAACAAGACAAATTTACTAACTGTATTAATTTAGCACACATATAATTATATACCCACTTCCCCAAACTAATTAAAGTAGCTTTCACTACTTTCAGATCGCCGCTCATTTCCACCAAATCCTGACAGAAGTGCTTTTCTTCTAGTAGTCTAAAAATATTGATCTCTGTGCAAAGAGCGTTTAATCGAATTCATATACAGGTACATAACACTGAGAGAGAGAGAGAGAGAGAGAGAGAGAGAGAGAGAGAGAGAGAGAGAGAGAGAGAGAGAGAGTGAGTGTGTGTGAGAGAGAGAGTGGGGGGGGGAGAGGGAGAGAGAGAGAGAGAGAGAGGGAGAGAGAGAGAGAGAGAGAGAGAGAGAGAGAGAGAGAGAGAGAGAGAGGAGGGGGGGGGGGGAGTATTCATGTTACAGTATGAAATCTTGTTTCACTCTGGGATGAAGTCAAACAACTCGGCAGATACACTATACACGGCGCGGTGGTATCAGGCGCTCGGAAATTTTTAAGCATGTTGGGGGTATTACGGTATTGGCATTATCGTCTTGGTTGCAGTGAAAAAAAACCCATAATTTTATCTTGAATAGAAACCAAGAAATTTGAGATTGAAGTGAGTGAGGGTCGCCTAGCTGGTACTAGTACTACTAGACGTAAAAGTAGCAAGAAAATGGCTGCCAAAGTTTACTGACTTTCAACTTTTGGATCGATCGCGGAAACTGTATTATTATTTCCTTCTTTGATTAACGTTTTCCCCCCCAGTAAAATCAAAACTAGTGCAGACATGCATTTTTAAAGGGCTATTAAAGGAATCGAGCCAGCTTTAAAATTATTTTTTTAAATTGCCCTATGGGAGGAAAATGTCGGGCTTTAAAAAAATAATTGCATTATTTTGACGGTCGCCTGATTTTACCACGATATATATTATGCCACCCATATATAGATAAACCTCTTAAAAGAGAAAAAAACAGTGGAGCGTTGAAACAAGGAATTATCTTGTACACAATATCAGAAGAGTCACTAGGAGATGAGTGGTACAATAATAGGCCTACATATTATACTGCATTAGGGTAGTACACATTTCTTGCTCCTATACTAATAAGATATGGATTTTTTAGAAAAACATTATGTAAATGCTTTATACACTCAATCGACACATATTAGATTATAATTTATAGCCCGCTCCTAGTTAAGTATGAATAACTTCCTTCGTTTGAGTATGCAAGTTCATTTTGGTCCAAAGGATGACAGACATACTTTTCCACAACACAACCAACGAAAACACAGCGCATGAAAATTTGAACTCAACATGGTTGATAAATGAAATACTTGTACACATGTATATGAAAATGAGGTACAATGAACATGGATTATAAACCCAACAAATATTATTATAAAGACTGAAAGGAAATCTGATTTGAAGTTGGAGAAGGTCTAGCATACATGTGCATGGTTCCCACCCTCTCAAGTTCAAATGTTTAATGTTATGTGTTTGGGTGAAGTAGTCTGCGTTGTCCATCAGCATGCGTTTCGCAGTTTTTACGGCAACTTCGGCCCTGCAATTACCATGTGAGTTTGTCACAGAAGTTAGTCTATAGTGGACTCCCACGATCTGAAGAACTCTCGTGTCTTGCTCGCTGTGAACTGTAGTCCACCATCTGAGATGAGCTCTTCTGGTACTCCAAATGTCACAAATGTCTCACGTAGACGCTTGATTAAGCCATCTACTCCGGACTCTGCCTGGTGCACTATTGGCCACGAGGAGTATCTGTCCATGATCACCACACATTCTGTGTTGCTGAAGGAGAAGTAATCAGCACAGATCCTCTAGAATGGGTAATCTGGTGGGTTCCATAGGATTTGATTTTGCCGTCCTATGGCGATGAACGCACTCCTCACTGATTTTAGTTATGTCTGTGGTGATGTATGGCCAAAAAACGGAGTCTGCTGTCCTTGCGCACATGGCACCAACACTTTGATGTGCAGCGTGGAGAGCATTAAGGATGCTTGGCTGGAGTGACGCCGGAATCACAATGCGATGTCCCATGAGGATCACACCATCGACGCAACACAGGCTGTCCGCATAACGTTGGAAGGAACAGAATTCAGATGGGAGGTCACGGCTCTGACTGGGGAAGCCATCCTGGAGATGTTTCATAAGGAAGGTGAGAGTTGCGTCGTTGTCTGTGGCCTCACAGACCATGTTCCATGTAACGACATTAGAAATTGTATGTAATGTGGCTGAAGCTTACAGGGTGGTGGTCCAGTCTTCCGCAAATGGGTCTGCAATGTCTTCAAGAGGCTGTTCTCCCTTCTCAAGTTTGGCTGGGTAGCGTGAGGCTGCGTCAGGTCCTTTGTTCTGTGCACCAGAGACGTGGATAATTGTGTATGTAAAGAGAACGTTTTTTTCTTTCAGATTGAGCAGGCGCCTGTTGGAGTTTTCAGTTAGAGATCTGTCATTCAGGATGGGGGTTAAGGGTTTGTGGTCTGTCGCTACGATTAGGTCTGAGCAGCCTAGAATATAGTAGCGTGTCTGGTGAAGGGCATATGCGACTGCGAGTGCTTCGCCCTCTATGGGAGCATATTTGCTTTCAGAGGGGGTGGTGAACCTGCTTCCTACTAGAAAGTGTTTCCAACCATCTCGACAGCAAGCTGAAGTCTTCTATGGACACTGACAATTTCTGTTTCAACAGGAATCCAATCCCATTCACTGACCAATTGGTTGCTGGGCAAGTTGTCATGGATGGATCAAACTACCTCACGCCCTCTTTCAACTTGTTGATGATAATATCTTTCGATTTTTGGAAGAGAGTGTCGAGTTCATCCGTCCAGTTAAACTTTGCAGAGGGTTTCAGAAGGTGTAGGAAGGGCTTCATTTGCCTTGCCATGTCCAAGACATACGCTCCTTGGTTGACGAACCCAAACAAGACCTTGCACCCGAGATGTCAGTTGGTGTTGGGAAATGCTGGATATAGTTCAGGAATTTCAAACTGGGTTTGGTGTTTGTTTGCGTCACTGTCATGCCTGCGAATTCCACAGTGTCCTCAGCAAACTGGAATTTCTTGGTGTTCAGTGTGATTCCGTTGCCGGCACACAAATCTAACCATTGGCATGTCTGAAAAAAAAAAGCATTGCCAATGCTGTCTGCCCACATGCATGTGTCGTCCACACATTTGACTTTGTTTCGGAAATCGGCAATGATGGCATCAAATCGCAGGTTGTAGCCACCTCCGCTGGTTAGGAATTCTTGTGGGGAAACCTTGTATCGGTAGCGGCCCCAAGGTGTGATGAAGGTTGTGACATTTTGGTTATCGTGATGATTGGGTGCAGAGTGGTAGCCATTCCAGGCATCAATTATGGTCTTTCTAGTGTTCTGCGGGATGCGATCATCTAGGTGGAATGGGCTTGGCACGTGGTGGGTCCGTCTTACTGCATGGTGGTTCTGTGGCTGTAGGTCAACGGTTCGCCCCGGGGGGCCATCAGATTTAGGTGTTATTACCACCGAAGAGCACCATGTGACGGCTGTATTGGGATCCACCCTTTCTAGCACACCCAGGACATCTCTTTCAAGGTTCTGGTAAACTTTGCCCTGCCAAAGGATAGGCACAAGGGCAGGTGTGTGAATTGCTACAGGTTTGGCATCCGGGTCTGCAAATAGTCGAAGGGGCTCACATTTCATCATGGGTAGAGGTTGGTGCTCGTAGGTATTGAAGGCTGTGGCACTGTAGTAGTTAATCAGCCATTCCCGGAAAGCTGGCATATTCTTCTGTGAGGCCGTTAGGCCTGGGGGTATCCTGTTTGGTATCAGGAGTGGTTCCTGGTCACGTCTTGGGCAAGGGCAGGCTGGGTACTGAGGGCTGTCTGTGGACGCGACAGAGTCCGGTGGGCACGGTGCAGGCACCCGTGGAAAGTTGGAATGTAGGGCTCCCAAAAGTGACAATAGTGTCTCTCGACAAAGAAAGGCTTTCTCCTTCTTGGCAGACACATACATAAACTGTTTTGTTGATCTGGTTGCGCCAGATGCATCTGTTGTGGATACATCTGTAATGACCGCACCTTCCACACCCAGGTCTTCCTGGATTGCTCCTCGCATCACTAACCTGACTGGGTTGATTCCCATTGTTAGGGCGGAACGGAATGGGATAATCGAGGTCTGGCAGCCTGAGTCGGCAATCATGGGCGCTATGATGAATGATAGTTTCGATGTGTCTGACATTGGGTAGCCTAAGATAGCGTGATCCTTTGGTGTCGGAGTCAGTTGGACAGTCATTATGGGGTGAGGTTCTGAAGGTCGTGCAATACCCATTGCCTGTCGAAAACATGGTGTTCTAATGCTGTTGTTTTTTGCCGTTGAGCACCTTGGCGGGCGTTGGTTTGTCTCCTATATGAGTGCCACAGAATTGGTCAAAGATGAAATTTGCGGCATCGTCTTCAGTCTGGAAGGTTTTGCTGTGTTTGTTGTCTTTTTCCTAAGATTTTACTCAGTGCTGTGAGTTGTGCGAGCAAAATTTAGAAGATTTGTCCCTATGACCCCAGTTGCTGCATGTCGTGCACTTGCTGCAGGAAGAGGTGTAATGGCCCTTCACCGAACATTTGGCACAACTATAAGACCAGGCTACACAATGCTTTGCTCTTGTGTTTCGATCATTTTGGGGGCCATGGCCGGGTTTTCCACAAGCCAAACATTTGCCTCCTGAATTGGGGTGGGGATTTGGTTTTATGGGATGGCTTATCACGCCAGAGCTGTCTCCAACAATACTCCTCGTCACTTTGTCTTGCTCCTTTTGGGCAATGAAAGTGACTGTTTCTTCCAGCGTCCTGTCCGTTTTGGATCACCGAGCAGGTCTGATAATATCTCTGGGTCTGCAGTACCTCTTATGAGGTTGTCTTTGATGACCTCATCGCTAAAGTCAAAGGTCTGAGTGCAGCCTGGTTCGTTGCCTTTCATACTGTATTGACATAATGATGCCTGGCCACTAAGGAGGAGAGGAATGGTAAGGAACGAGTAGATAGTTATATGTTATATATGGTGCATGTTGTTATCTATATAGCTCCGAATTTCTTCTGTCACTGCCAGCTTGAGCTGAGAGGAATATGACGTATGTGCACACGGGAATCGAACTCCCTTCTCTTGTGTGTGATCGTGGAGAGTTTTACGGCTAGACCTATACCACAGACGCTGAATTTAATTGAAATGGTAATCACACACTTCAACACAACAACGCTTCTAGTGATCTGCATTGACAAAAAGGTGATTTACCTCTTTGATCTCATGCACCTCACAAATTGTCAAATTACACCCACAAAAAAAGTTAAAGGTGGGTTGAATCTGGTGCGCTGTGGGGGAAACAAAACGTTGCCTTATCAAGATCTCGTGTAATATTCAAATAACCGCATCATTTAAGATCAATTTTTTAAAATTTAAACAAAAACCAATTTGGTGATTGGCGTCAAACAATAGGAAAAATGAATAAGATTAGGACAATCCACCGTGGCTCAATACAATTAATAACATCTCATCCTCTCTGGCGTTGGAACTTACAATTATTACGTGTTTGTATTCTGAAATACCGGCAGGCCTAGGCTATCCTATAACTTGTCCCCTAGGCAGCTTTCTTCCAGTTAAGGAAAAAAAACCCAAGAACCCCCCCAACCCCCCCCCCAGCCAAATCCTAAAAACCGCTACATATGAAATTCTTCTACTAAATCTGAAAAAATTAAAAACGTATTTACTTTACCAGGATTTTATAGGTAACCCTCTTTGTAGGTAATTAACATCAGGACCTGGTACTTTCTTAGAAAGATTGTTATTTTTTCAGGAAAGGATACAAATATGAAAAATCAAATATGCGAGAGAAAAAGTCGTCATATGGCGACGACACATAGGATTATAGCACGTAATTGTTTGATATCTGATAAACTTGGCTCTTTGATATCGTTTAGCAATTTGGCATCTTGGAATGTTTTCTGTTTACTTCGCAATTCCGCGTAAAGAGGAGTAACTCTGGTTGAAGCGCGGTAAAGGCAGGTAAATACGAGAGTTTTTTCTTGACACTCCACAGTGTTGTGCGTTGTGTACTGTACAACGGCCAACGGAACGTTGAGTAAGCAGTTCTAAAGAGAATCATTGTTTTCTTTTACTCGATGAAGAAAAACGAACTGCTTTTAACGGTGTATAGATTGGAAATTTTCATCCTAAAGTGCTCCAAGCTACCAGACTACAGGAAGTAGTAAACTAGAATCTAGTCTGTAAAGTGTAAAAGTAAAGTAAGTTTATATTCTCATTGATTATTGATTATGGCTTGCTATTCTGATTCTTTATTGATCCTTGATTATTGGGGAGGATTTCCGTAACGAGCGACCACTATTACTTTGAGACAGAGTAGAATAGAGGGGCAGGGTTAGAGGTGGGATAAGGGTAGGGGTAGGTTGTATGGATAGTGTTAGGGGTAGGGTTAGAGTTCGGGTAACATGCGACTGAACGTAGAACGAACTCTGTTCGTTGTTTACTGCAATTTAAAAAACAAATTTAATGTACAGTTTACACACATATATAGATATCTATGGGGATGCTTTTTGGAGTCACGAGATACAGCTCTCTGACAAGAAATGTGGTTGTTTGACTCCTCAGAAAATTATGAAGATGGATCTTGTTTACTCTCTATGGTAATTTTAAACAGTGTCTACGTACACGGTAACCGGGCACCTATTCTCAGTATCTACGTACACGGTAACCGGGCACATAGACTCAGTATCTACATACACGGTTACCGGAATGAAAATATATTTGTCCTGTACTGTGCTGTCACTTGCTGAAGAAAAAAGAAAGTCATAATTAAACGTCTTGTCGGGCTCGCCATCGTGACCAGTCAGTGAACCTGCTCATGTGCATCACATTGTGAGTACCGGTTGGGGTCACCGAAGTTCATTCAAAGTCTGTGCGCTGCGAAGTATAGGGTTCCGGAATGGGGGGATTATTGATTTTTTTAAAGGTGCAGTTGGGAGAGGGGTGGGGATGAAAGCAACACCGGATGACAAAAACTGAACTTGGAGTTCTGAACTGCCCGGTTACCCTACTGTACATGACACTGAGACTAGATCTACATGCCTGGTTACCGGTTACCATGTACGTAGATATTGACGCTACATGCCCGGTTACCGGTTACCGTGTACTTAGGTATTGAGGCTAGGTGCCCAGTTACCGTGTATGTAGATATTGCGAATTTTAAAAGTCCATACTTTTGAGATGTCACTGTGTTAGTTTTTGATGTCTTTTATCTGTAATTAGATTTTAATCATGCTTTTTTTTCCATGTGCAGAATGGACCCAGCAGATGATTTTGATCAAACTCAAGCTATTTTTCTTGATGAGGAAGAGGATGATGTTACAGATGAAATTGATCCTAATGAAGGGAGGAATCCAGTAAGGATATATTTCAAAATTATTGTTTGATCTCATTTATAAGTATAATTCATGAAGATTTGATTGTTTTGCAAATTATATCAAAAGCCTGATTGAAAGTAGCAGGACTTGACTGACATCTTATTATGAAAGGGACTGTTGATTGATTGTGCTTATAATGATATTAGAGTAACCCGACCACTTGGGGCCACGAGTGAACATTCCCCCCTAGCTAGCACTTTTGCACTAAGCGATTCCCAACTTGATTTTCGTGGAGAAAAAAGCCGCAGGAAGGGCCCTGACCTGGCCGGGAATTTAAAGACTTCAAGTATAGAGTGCAGTGGGTGTTTTCTGCTCAACTTTGGCTTACCACTTGGTGCCCGGCAGCCCTGGGTGTGGCAGACGACGAGCCAACGATGCGGCCACCTGACTTGGGTGTGGCAGACGACGAGCCAACGATGCGGCCACCTGACTTAAGTGCAGCCGAATCCATGCCCGTTATGCGGCCAGGCGTTAAACAAGCTTCAAACACTTGAAAACATGACAAACAATGAAGGAAATGAATAACAAACGTATAAGGTGCAATTTGAAATATGGTAGGCCTACATTCAACTTTAATGAGATTCAACAGACTCCTGATCAGAGCCTGCAAACAAAATGGAAATCAATGACAGCGTAGATCTTGGAAAAAAGTGCAAGGATGGTAGATCTAGATCTAGATTACGTCTACTCTTGATAGGAGCAGAACGGAGAAGTCTCAGGTCTCTGACCTCAAGGTACGATCTCCACCGTCATGCCGACCAAGTGACTCCCCACTCTCGTGCGCAGTGTCTGGTTTTCCTTCCGCTTCAGCCAATGCTGGCATTTCGTTTCCAGTTCCGACCATTGTTGCAGTCCTCCACCTCTTCTTCATTCATCTCATGCATAACATAATAACATTGTTCTCTTTCTACTCCAACCACTGGTCTTTTGTCCCCATCTCCGTCACTCTCAAGCATGTCTTCTCTTTCTGTTTCTTCTGTTTCAACCACTTGTCTTTTGTTTCCTATGCCTTCATTGTCAGCAGCAACACTGTTTCTATTTCTCTCCGTCTGTGGTCCGACTCTTGATCCTTCATCAAGTTCAAGGGTTT